TGTCAAGCGATTTTGGCTCATAGTAGAACGCAAAAAATTTTTCACGCGAGACAATAGACTGAAAGAACGCTCCCCTTCAGCCACACTGACTGGAAGTGTGCAAAATATCGTATAAACACAAATTTTGTTCAAAGCGCTTTAAAAATCAGCTGTTTCTTCATTTCACATTCACTGTTGCGAAATGTCAGTTCAAGACGATTTCTTTGCTATCGATTTAGGTGCGTTCGTATAAACACTTGACAAATTTGTGTCGTCAGAACCGTTTTTTATATGTATGTATAAACAAGGTAAGTATTTGATTGGATCCTTATAATTTTAGTTTGGTGAATTGGTTAAGTTAAACACTTCAATTTTAAAACAATTTTTTGTAGCAACAAAATACCTATGTATGTATCTATGAAATCCTAGTTCGAGTACTGTCAATACTGCTTTGCCTTTCCGGGCCCCCAAAAACCTTCCGGGCCCCAGGGCGATTGCCCTGGCTGCCCCCCCCCTCTCCGCGGCCCTGGGTGTGCTCGTCTTTAAGTTATTTGTTTTTGCTATTTTATGGCCTTATAAAAATTATATNAACGCGGTAAGACTATGGAACTCTCTTCCAGTGATAGTGATACAACTTTTTAGAAAGAAGAATCGATGCCAGTACTCATATTTGCAAAAAAGTTTCGATAATACTCGTACTTTCAAGTATTTTTAAATCAAACGCGAAAAGTAAACAAAAATGAGATTGCTTTGTTTTTACCTCCCTTTTATTAGCTCGGGATGTAACTATGTAATATTGATGCGCCTAAAAGATGCAGCAATTTCTATTCTCAAGTTACATACCTGATGACAGAACGAATGGAAATTTTAATAGTGAGGTTTTAGTTTTTTAAACTATAATTTTTTATGCCTTTCTTTCTAGTTGTACATTACATAGACACTGCTTTAAATAGTTGAAATGTGATTTAGCAAGCACTTCAAAAAGAATTTTTGAAATAAACTTGCAGTAAGTTTACTTCTACAAGTGTAAAGTAATCGTTTATCGAAAAGAGTTTTTAAGAGAAAATACTCTATAATGTTTGAAGCGTATATTTATAAACCACGTTACTTTTAAGCCAAGTTATCGTGTCGAAGACCATCTTCTTACCCATTCATTATAGAAGGTGAAGCAAGAGATTCGTTCTCGAATTATTTAAGAATTTTTAACCAAGCCCAATGTTGAAATGACCGTAACCCCTTCTTCTATGGTGTATAAAAATTTCATAGCTGTCCCGATTACCAGTAGCTCATGAGAACAAAATATGTATTATAGCGTTTTCTTTTCTCGAAAAAAGGCCGCACTTATTCTGCCTTGTGTTAGCGCTGTCACATTTTCAAGTTCTTTTTCAGCCCTTTCACAAGGCGTCGTGTTCTTTTCTCAGCAGGTTGCGCTCTGTTCCGGCGAAAGTGCTGCCTTTTCTGCCCGCAAATAAACGTGAGGGTGAGAGTTGCATGGTTGATTTTTAATTTAGTCTTGTAAAAATGCAATTATTTTCCCTATCAGAAATAAGTGTTTTGCTTTAAAATTGTTAAAGACTTACAGGCCAAGTGAATAATTCAGCTTTATTAAGTTCTATAAAGAAATTGTTATGGAGTAGTATATTTTCTGTTTCATTCTCATATAAAGAACGCAACATTTTCTCAGGTTTCAGGGCAAGCAAGAGTTCCCATATAAAAGGGCAGAGCTTTTTTTGAGAAAAGAAAACGCTATTAGTTTTTACTATTGAAGTATATCGTCACCTGAAAAGCAAAAAGACGTAACAACTTCGTAAATAAAAAGGAAAAATGATAAATGATGTGGGGAGTTGTAATTCGATGAAATCCATAATATAAATCAAAAAGTGAATTTTGAAGTTTTTATTAGTTAGGACTTTTTGCATTTCAACGATGATATTTGTTACGTCGTTTTGCATTTTAGGTGACGATATGTAAGATAAAAAATTTAAAGCCGTTTTTCTAGGTTTTTTTTTTGTTTTTTTTTGACACACTGACTCTATGACAGTGTTGAAGTATATGAGCGTTATGTTCCTTTTCACGACATTATATTGGATATCGAAGATAATTTTCGAACGTTCGCCACAATGTTTATTGGGTAATTTACAACGATTTTGTAATTGAAAGAACGAGATTTTTTATATGACTTTTTAAATTTTTTTTACTTAAAAAAAGTTTTTAAAACTTCGATATTTTTTGGTATTCACGATACTTACTCAGTAGTTGTCAAAAAATACTCAGTACTCATGAAAAGTATCGATATTCTGTACTCGGTACTCGTATCGTTCTATCACTAGTCTTTGAAGAACTCGTTACATAAGGGTAATTTCAAAAACCTCATATTTAAGTTTTTTTTCTAACAATTGTGATAATAAATAGTGGTTATAAGCGTAGTCGTACTTAATCTTTGAATATGTAATTTTATATTAATTTTAATTTTTACTTCTGTTTTAATTTTAATCATATTTTTTTATCAATATTATTTTATTTTTTTCTTTTATTAATGTATTTTAATATGCAATTATATTCATACTTAACTGTTTGTATTATTGCGTAAAATGTTCACTAATGTGTACTCAATAATAATAATAATAATAATAATTCTGCGGTAGTTTCTGTTTCTGTACTCATAGACTCAGACACTTTTCCAAGGGATCATTAAAAATAGTAAATGTATTCGTATACCATTTCATTTCGTTTATTTTTGTTTTGGTTTTTACACAGATACAACTTGAACATTGTGGGCATTGAGAACTGTTCAAGGATGCGAGATTGTATTCCACATTGTTGGTCTGAGCCTGCCATGGGTAATGTATTGCGTAGAGACTTAGTGCCACCAATTCTACAGCAGGCCGCTTTCGATAATACAGTAAGCATTTCAGATAATATATAATAATTATTTCTATTGCACTTTTTGCTTTCATTGTTGTATCTTTCATTCATTACGCTTTTGTGCATGTGAATTTCCATATCATGGCATACACTGGTAATGAAAAGTGAGTGCATAGTGTTTTTTGTTTAATATTTGCAACGTTTTTCAAGTAAAATTTTTTTTGTTATTTTTTATAAAAATATGGTTCATGATTTAATCAAAACAACATAAGTCAAACTTTCAAACTTTATACAGAACTTAGAAAAATTCAAAGAATTTTTGTCTAAATTTTGAACTTTTTAATATGAATTTTTAGAAAAATGTTATTTCAAACGTTTTAATGTTTCGGATGTTTATATAATATTAAAACGACCATGGACTTGGTCACGCCGATTTGGTCAGTTTTGAAGATCGTGGTGAATGAGGTCAAACATGTATTGTCAAAGATTAGGAATCGTTTGATAAGTTAATAGTAGCATGAAGCATATAAGTATTTACGTACATTAACATAATACAATTCGGGTGGGAAATGCCCATTTTAAGTCCATATATGCAGTCTTGAAAATTGGTGCGGAATGGTTTCATTAGTCACCGAAGATGCACATTTTTGCGGATTCTAAATTTGCCGTTATATGAAAGTAGGGGACGTACAATAAATGTTTAGATATACATAAATATTTTAGCTAATTCCATTATGTCTTTAAATATCCTGGGAAATCCTTTTGAGGACTCTCCAATTGGACGATATTGCTTTGCATTTAGCTTGAACGAAAAGTCACTCCCTGGCACACTTTTATTTATTTATTTATTTATTTATTTAAGTAGCTGGCTGTCCATAATACTGATGTCTTTTAAACCCATCGTATATAATATTGTCGTTTACAACTATGATAATTGGCATACATAAGAATAAAAATAAATTAGCTTAAAATTATTTTGTATAAAGATGAAGAAGAGAGAAAAATTTTATATATTGAACAATTTAAACACTTCCAGTTTAAAGCGCCTAGCATTTAGCACGGATTTAATTTCATTTGGTAGGGAGTTCCATAGTTTGACAACACTGACAAAAAACATTCTAGAAGAAACAAGATAATTATGTTTTGGTACAATCAGATTACAAGTTCTAGTTGATTGTGCAAATGTTAATTTTTCAAATAGGTATTTCGGGTTTTTCAAATTGATGAGCTTATGCAAAAATATAAGGTGGCGGTAATTCAAAAGTCAGCTGTGTACCATAGTTTTCTCAGAACAAAATAAATCCTACTTATGGTGTGGTTTATATGATCCGAACACCCCAAATAGGAATTTATTTTGAAACCAAGACTAGTTACAACTGGTTCAAAAATGATCGGTGTGTCCTCTAGAGTTAGTGTTGGGAGAAGATCTTCAGTATTCGAACAGTGTGAAATACATATGGCTTTGGTTTTCGTTGCATTTAAGCTTAAATTATTCAACTTGGCGCAGATGGAAATAGAAAGGAGATCTTAATTTATTCTGACTATTAAGTCCTCAGAGAGACCAATTGGACAAGAAAGGTAAATTTGAGCATCATCCGCATACAAGTGTATGAACACGCTTTTACAGCAGTAAACGATATCATTAATGAACATGCTGAACAACATTGGGCCTGGTATGGATCCTTGTGGTACCCCCGAGTGCAGTCCTCTTAGCTCAGAACACACATTTTTTACAACAACCTTTTGCCTACGATTACCAAAGTAGTTTTCGAGTAATTTTACCGCACTATCAGATAATCCAAAATATTTGTTTAGTTTAAGTAAGAGTATTCTATGATCAACTTTGTCAAATGCCTTGGAAAAATCTAATAGGGTTAAAATAGTTAAATCACCCTTATCAAACACAGGTCTAATATCTTCTATTACCTTTAGCATAGCTGTAGCACAGCTGTGACCCTTTCTGTAACCAGACTGGTTCGGCGTAAGAAGTTTATTTCTATCAAGATGCATAACTATTTGCATGACCATCAGCCTTTCCAAGGGTTTANAGGGTAAAACAGTTAAATCACCCCTATCAAACACAGGTCTAATATCTTCCATTACCTTTAGCATAGCTGTAGCACAGCTGTGACCCTTTCTGTAACCAGACTGGTTCGGCGTAAGAAGTTTATTTCTATCCAGATGCATAACTATTTGCATGACCATCAGTCTTTCCAAGACTTTTGACAACGAAGAAAGTATACTTATTGGGCGGAAATCCGATGAAGAAACACCCGAATGACTTTTAGGAATTGGAGTAACCTTGGCTATCTTCCAGGCATCCGGAAATGTCGATGAGGTAATGGAGAAGTTCAAAATGTGTGTCAGTGTAGTAAGTACGTTTGGGAGAATAATTTTTAAAAACTTTTAGCATTCGATTTTATTGAGAAAATACCTTTTAAAACGTCATACTCAGTCACAGTCGAGAAACTGAAAGGTTTATTTGTTTTAAATAAAAGGTTTTGGTCTAGTTTGAACCCATTGCTATTTTGCAAAGTGTTCGACTGTAAGAAATAGTCATTCATGGTATTAACATCTAAATTACATTCAAAGTCACCTTTACTTCCTATGCCCACAGACTTTAGGTNAAGAAGTTCAAAATGTGTGTCAGTGCAGGAAGTACGTTTGGAAGAATAATTTTTAAAAACTTTAAGCTTACACTGTCCTCACCAATAGCATTCGATTTTATTGAGAAAATACCTTTTAAAACGTCATACTCAGTCACAGTCGAGAAACTGAAAGGTTTATTTGTTTTAAATAAAAGGTTTTGGTCTAGTTTGAACCCATTGCTATTTTGCAAAGTGTTCGACTGTAAGAAATAGTCATTCATGGTATTAACATCTAAATTACATTCAAAGTCACCTTTACTTCCTATGCCCACAGACTTTAGGTTATTCCACAGTATTTTGCTTGGTAAGTCTGCATTNGGAACCCATTGCTATTTTGCGAAGTGTTCGACTGTAAGAAATAGTCATTCATGGTATTAGCATCTAAATTACATACAAAGTCGCCTTTACTTCCTATGCGCACAGACTTTAGGTTATTCCATAGTATTTTGCCTGGTAAGTCTACATTTAGTTTGGTTCGATAGTGCTGCCTTTTCGAATTTTTCGTAGTAAGATTAACGCGATTTCGGGCTTTGCGATATGCTTCCCAGTTTTCACAAGTTGGTTTGCGTTTCCAACGAACGTAAAGCTTATTTCGAGTTCTAATAGTTAGTAGAACCTCTCTTGTGAACCGTGGTTGTTTTCTGTCAGAAGTTTTAACGACTCTTAAAGGAATATATTTCTCAAAAAATAATTTACCGCGGAGGTAAAAATGTTCAGCTTTTGGTTAATGCCAGGAAAAGACCAGACTGTATTCCATTCAAGGATACCGGCCTCATGCTTTAATGCTCTAATATCAACTGATTTGAAATCCCTATAATAGAAAGGCAGATCAGNCCGTTTCCAACGAACGTAAAGCTTATTTCGGGTTCTAATAGTTAGTAGAACCTCTCTTGTGAACCATGGTTGTTTTCTGTCAGAAGTTTTAACGACTCTTAAAGGAATATATTTNTCCATAGTATTTTGCCTGGTAAGTCTACATTTAGTTTGGTTCGATAGTGCTGCCTTTTCGAATTTTTCGTAGTAAGATTAACGCGATTTCGGGCTTTGCGATATGCTTCCCAGTTTTCACAAGTTGGTTTCCGTTTCCAACGAACGTAAAGCTTATTTCGGGTTCTAATAGTTAGTAGAACCTCTCTTGTGAACCATGGTTGTTTTCTGTCAGAAATTTTCACGACTCTTAAGGGAATATATTTATCAAAAAGATAATTTACCGTGGAGGTAAAAAAGTTCAGCTTTTGGTTAATGTCAGGAAAAAAACCAGACTGTATTCCATTCAAGGATACCGGCCTCATGCTTTAATGCTCTAATATCAACTGATTTCC